ATATTGGCGAATTCCTTTAATCTCTGCAGAGGCAGGCAGCTCTCTTGAGTTCAAGGCCTGCATGGTCTACATACTGAGTTCCAGGGCTGACAGAGATACATAGTAGGGCCTGTCTCAAAAAAATTAAACCAAATAAAAACTTTGTAAAGAGAACAGCCATTTGTTGAAGAAAATGTAAAATATTTAATAGTATTTTGGGGAAGCAATCATCCCTTCCATTAAAGTACTAACCAGGCCTGACCTGGTTTAGCTTCTGAGATCAGACCAGTTCCGGGCAGTCTGGACACACATCAGAGCAATCTTTTCTATGGAAAGTTCATAACAAAATTTCATCTGATTACAGAACATGTAACATTGATGTTTAAATATACAGTTGGTAATCCTGAAGAGGAAAATACAGAGCACATACCATTACAGAAACAAACACACCAGTATAAGAAACAAAATGCTGAGAAACAGAGAAAACTACATGCTTGTAAGATGTGAAAGGGGATATAGTCCAAGGTCCCAGTGGACCCGAGGCCTCAGCTAGCACAGCACCCTACAGAGCTAATCACTTGGTACCTGGGATGATTGGTTTCAGAAACCCCACGAGTACCAAAACCCACGGATGCTCAGGCTCTTATTTAAAATGACAATGTATTTATACAGAACTTATGTGTGCCTTCTCATGTACTTTATGTCATCACTAGATTAGTTATGTCTAATGCATGCAAATGATAAGCAAATACTTGCTATACGATATTGTTTGGGGAACAATGGCAAAGAAAAATTAGGTAGAGATATGATTTTCTGGACAGTTTTCCACATTTGTTTACTTTTGGTGGTGGGGTGTCATGAGGCATGTGTGGAGGTCAGAGGACAACTTGTGGGAGTTGGTTCTCTCTCCCACCATATGGGTCCCAGGGATCAAACTGGTCATCGGGCTTGAGGGCAAATATCTTTACCCACTGAGCATCTTCCTAGCCCCAGATACAACTTTAAAAAAGATCCTCTGCAAGAACAGCAAGTGCTCTTAACTGCTGAGCCCGCCTCCAATCCATCCGAAGGAGTTCAAATGAAAGGCGGAGCTGGGTGGGTGTGGTGCTGTGATGGTGCCCACCTTAGCACTCAGGAGGCAGGGGCAGGAAGATGTGCGTTTGACGCCAGGGAGTGGGCTACACAGCCAGACGGTCTTAGTCTGCTCTTTACTGCAATGATAAACACCACGACCAAAAGTAACTTGGGAACAAAACAGTTTATTTGGTTTATACCACATAACAGCACCTGAAGAAGGAAGCCAGGGCAGGAACTCAAGGCAGGAACCTGGAGGTGAGAGCTGAAACACAGAACTGCTGCTTCCTGGCTTGCTCACCCCTCATGGATTGCTCAGTCTGCCTTCTTATACAACCCAGGACCACCTGCCCAGAAATGGCATCACCCACAATTGGCTGGGCCCGCTTATATCAATCATCTATCCAAAAAAAATGCCCACAGCCTTATCTACAGGCCAAGCTGTTAGCAGCAGTTCTCAACCTATGGGCCATGACCCCCTTGGGGGAGGGTGTCAAACAATGCTTTCACAGAGGTGGCCTAAGGCCATCAGAAAACAGGTATTTACATTACAATTTATAACAACAGCAAAAACACAGTTATGAAGTAGCAAGGAAAATAATTTTATGGTTGGGGGGGACACCACAACATGGGGTACTGTATTAAATGGTCGCAGTGTTAGGAAGGTTGAGACCCACTGTGATAGATGTGCTTTTTCTGAATTGAGGTCCCCTCTTCCTAAATGACTGGAACTTGTGTCAAGTTGACAAGAAACTAACCAGCACAAAGACCCTGTCCGGATACTCTATAACTTAAGGCAACTACTTAAAGTTAAGTGTAACTAATAAGCAGCCGGTGAAAAGCGAAAAGTAACTTTAGACTGAGAACCTGCCGTGGTGCTAGCTCACGGCTGTGACCCGGCACTCGGAAGCTGAGGCAGGAACACAGCCGTTGACTGCTAGCCGGGATGCACTGCGTTCCAGCCCAGCCTGTTACAGAGGAAGACTCAGCCTCAAAAAACAACAAAGTAAATGCTAATATAGTTAACCTATAAAAGGCAGGGGAGAGAGGGAGAGAGAGATCTTTGAACATCTGTAAGAGGCAGAAAATAACTCGTAATATTGTAGATTCCATAACTGGAATCATCTTAGTATTCTTACAGCCAAGCAGAGTAAACTGTGGCTATGATTTATTGAGTATTTCAAAACCGTGAGCAGAGGGCTAGGAGTGCTTGCCTAGCATGCCAGAGGCCTTAGCCAAGAGGATACCGGGTAGTCCCAACACTAAGAAATGGTAAAGGTTTGAACTAATGAATAAGCCAGTTGTCCTGATCTATGCTGTATAGACAAACTGAAATGTTCAAATGCCATCCCGTACTTCACCAAGCCTAATGACCGAGGAACTCACAGATAAAAGGGGAAAACCAACTCTACAGGTGCTGGTGGCATATGCAAGCCCATGCCCATCCCCACCCCCCACCCCCACATACACACAAACAAGTAAGTAAATAAATAAATGTAAACTAAAAAACTAAGGGCTGGGGATGCAACTCAGCGGCTGAGCAGCACTCTAGCATGCACAAAGCCCTGGATCTCAGTACTGCATTAAATAAATAAGTAAATGCAAATGCACAGTAGTTACAGTAAGTGTTTGGTGGGCGATAGGATTAATAACCAGGATGCATTTCTTATAAAACACTATAAAGCAATGGGAGAACAACCAACCAACAGAATAGGCAAAGGATACGAAGAGAACTTTACTGGGTGAGAAAACTGCTAGTGTTGAAAATATAAAAGGACAATTTCTTTAATGAGGGCAACATAAAAATAAATATAAATGACAATAAGGAGTTGCATTTCTCATTCAACTTTTGGATGAAATTTCCAAGTCACTTATCAGTAAACGTCGGCCAGGACATGAAAACAGGAAGTCCTGCATTGTCAGGGGTAGGGTAAGTGGGCACCATCTCTGGTAAGCAGTTTGAAGCCTGGGAGAGTTGATGGTACCCCTGCCACCCACCAGTCCTTATCTGGTGAACAGCACAATGAGCCACGTGTGCCTGTGATGTGCATGTGACATCCTGGCAGCAGATGTGTTTTCTTTCCCCTCAGAGGCTGATGGAATACTATATAGTGGTTAAAATGAATAGACCAAATAGACTTGTTTACACATGCTGTATCTCCAAGTAACAATAATCCACCATGAAAACAAAAAGCTGCAACAGGATGTGGGCTGAATAAACACCATGTATGTAAAATTTCAAGACTATCGAGCCCAGCAGTGTGCACTGTTTGTGGGTGCACATGATAGGCAATTCTTAGACATACTTGGGGGGCGGGGGAGGTGGCAGATTGAGATGACCCTGGCCTGGTCTCCGTTTTTAGCGAGAGCTGTATATTGCCCGGTTGCCTTCTAAGACCTGTTCCAACCCACACATCCCGAAGGTTCCATGAAGTGAAAAAATTATTCCGCCTTTTCCTCTCGGTTCCAGTTGGGGTTCATCCCTAACTCTAACCAGGGCACCTGCTCAGACTTTTTTTCTCTTTTCATCCCGTTCCCAGATCTTGCCAGCCTCGGCATCCAATAAACACGCGTTTCAGTGAACCTGTCCAGGAAAGAGGGTCATCTCTCGTGGTTGGAAAGAGCACTGTGTCCACGGGGGCGAAACAGCAACTTGGGGTCAGCAAGCCGCTCCCCGCTCGGCCTCAGTTTCCTCCTAAGCAAGCCCGTCTAGCCCCTTCCAGCCCGTGCCCTCAAGGATTCCAGAAATTCTGTCCTTTCTGGCCGAAAACAACACTGAGGCTTTTCACAAAGCACTCCCACCCCCACCCCTCGCTCCCCTTAGATCCACAGCCCGCGTCCCTGGAACCCGGGCTGCACCGCGCTGGTCACATGAACTCCGGCTTTCTCTGGTGTGACGGCTCTCTCCGATCCCTTTGTGAGCGCAGGTTTTGAAAGGCAACGACCGGGTTCTGGGTTTGAGACGCGCAGGCGGCCGCGGGCGGAAGGCTGTCGGAGCCCATCGGCCCGCCTCCAGAGC